GTTCCTTTCAAGAGCTTCTCTTTCTCATTGATTTTCAGTAATTGTGCCATGTGCCTGGGTGTGGTTCTCTTTACATTTATCCTACGTGGGGCTTGTTGAGTTTCTCGGATTGATGTGCAGGTGTTTTTCATGAAATTTGGGGAGATTTTTTAAAAATATGTTTTTATTGATTTCAGAGAGTAAGGGAGAGGGAGAGAGAGAGAGAAAAGGAGAGAGAGAGAGAGAGAAACATCAATGATGATGAGAGAGAATCATTGATCAGCTGCCTCTCTCACGCCTCCTACTGGGGTTCAAGCTCGCAACCCAGGCATGTGCCCTTGACCAGAATTGCCTTGACCAGAATCGAACCTAGGACTCTTCTGTCCCCAGGCCGACGCTCTATCCACTGAGCCAAACCGGCTAGGGCTGGGGAGATCTTTTAAACCTTTATATTATGCCCCATTTTCTCTCTCTCTCTCTCTTTCTCTCTCTCTCCCCCCCCCGGACTCCAGCTACATAGTAGATCATGTGATTTTTGTCCCACAATTCTTGAGGCTATGTTTATTTTTATCCCATTTTTCTCTCTGTTTTTTAGATTGCATAGTCTCTGTTGCTCTGACTTCAATCTGCTGTTGAATCCACTGAGGGAATTTTTCAATTCAACACTCTTCACTTCTGGAATTTGCATTTGATTCTTTTGGGTGGTTCCCAATTCTCTGCTGAGATTCTGTCTCTTCACTCACCAACAGTATATTTTCCTTCACTTCTTTGATCATATTTCCCTCTGAAATACTTGCTTTATTATGAATTTTAAGAGTTACTGAAATATATTGAAATCCTTTAGTTGATGCTTACAAGGAATCCCTATTTTCGCCAAGTCAGTTCTACCGTGGGATGTGTTTCTTTTTGCAGACCTTTTATGCAGCCATCGTTGACTTATGTGAAAACGGCGGGAAACGTCCGATCCCAAATAGCAGTGCTAGTTTCACCAAAGAACAAGCAGACACCATTCGCAGAATTCGAAATAGTAAAGACAGTTGGGACATGTTGGGAGTCAAACCTGGAGCGTCAAGGTAAGTAGTGCTCTGTGATGTCAGTGCTGAGCTCTACTAGTATTACAGAGAACGGCTCCATTGTCAAAATCACAGGCACGAATCTTCTCACAATTGTCTGGAAATACAGGGGTTTGTGGACATACATTAGATGACTTACTAACACTCTTTCACTGAATCAGAAGCAGCTTTGTGTCTTTGCTATTCAGGTGATAGCAGTGGCCTGATGTGGAAACTTTGTAGTGTGTGTGCAGAAATGCTTTTCGAAATGGTATGCTCTGCTCTTATTGAATTAAGAGCCTTGAAGCTAATGAACCTTAAAAAAAATACCTTACAAAAGAGAATTCTTAAATTATAGAATTTTAGAAGAGGAAAAAATGTTAGCAATCAACGTGTTCAAACATTTCATTTTATAGCTGGGAAAACTGGGACTTAGTGAGACTAAATACATTCAGTAACCTCAGGGGTTAGTGGTAGAATTGGTTCTTGACCCTGAACACACCATGTGTGTGTTTGTGTGTGTGCGTGTGTCTCTCTTTCTCTCTCTCTCTCTCTGTCTCTCTCTCTCTCTGTCTCAAAATTCCTACTAGATTCTCATATGTGTGTATTTATGTTCCTTTATTTTAGCCAAAAGAATTATTTGGAAGAAAAAGAAATATAATCACTACTCTTTGTTGCTGTGCAAGAGTAAATCATTGTTCAGTATGGTCATAGAACTTTTTCCCCCAGTTTTAATGAAATATAATTCACATGCAGGATTGTATCGTTTAAGGCAGGGGTCCTCAAACTTTTTAAACAGGGGGCCAGTTCACTGTCCCTCAGACTGTTGGAGGGCCGGACTATAGTTAAAAAAAAACTATGAACAAATTCCTATGCACACTGCACATATCTTATTTTGAAGTAAAAAAACAAAACGGGAACAAATACAATATTTGTATTTGCATGTGGCCCGCGGGCCATAGTTTGAGGACCCCTGGTTTAAGGCATACAGCCCAATGATTCAACTCACAGATACTGTGAAACAGTGACCACAAGTTTAGTTACTATCCATCATCTCATAGAGAAAAGAAAAGGTTTTTCATTGTAATGAGAACTCTTGGGATCTACTCTCTTAAGAACTTTCAAAGTTTGCATAACTTTTTACTACAGAATACTGTTACTGTACATATTATAATTATAAGAGTCCTCAGATCTTTTGCTTTTGCACCATAGATTTTCTCTCCCTGGCTCTCCCTTTCTACTTATTCACCTTGACCCCACCCCACCCACCCACCCACACAAGCCCACCTTGAAATTGCCTTGTCAGCATCCATAGTGTTAGTATCTCTGCTCCATTCTGGTCTCAGAGCATATCTTTAGTCCAGAAGCAAAGAGGGGAGGGGAGAGGAAGACAGTTATTGGTCACCTCGACTTGCCAGGCTTTACTGAGGATGCTTTAAACACAGATGACTCGTGCACATAGCACAGAGTTCATTGGTATTTCTTAAATGTACTTTTAGGTTTCCATGGCCTCATTCTGAATTCTCCCATTTCATCCTCAAGGAATATTGGCTCTAAAACTAAGAAACGATTACTTATTAACTTAGAACAACATTTATTACAGAAAAGTAAACTTTGGTTTCTTATTTATTCACTCTGGTTAAGTGGAATCTACTAAAATTTACAGGATCTCTGTAAGTTCCATGCCCTTAACCAATAGAAACATGTACTGTTCTTACCTTTGCTCTTCTGGAGATATCAAACTAATTTTGTATGGTATTGAGCACTTTGAGGCAAAACCTACAAACATTTTTTAAGTTATAGACAGTTTTAATGTTTGTTCAGTGCTAATTGTTTACTACTCTTGACCTTTGAGAAAATCTTAATCTTCAGTAGAATTAATATATTTCTTACACACTTGACTCAGTCCTGTTTCTCCAGAATTTTCCTTGAAAGCCTCCCTGCTACCCAGAATTCTTTTTTTTTTTAATTCTTTATTGTTGAAAATTACATGTTTCCTTTTCCCCCCATTGACCTCTCCCAACCCACTCCCGCACCCCAGCACAGGCCCTCACCCCCCTACTGCCTGTGTCCATCGGTTATCCAGACTTCTTAAAAGGCACTCTTGGTGCAGCAGGCCAGGCCTCATACCACCCCCCCTCCCCCCGGTGGACATGCTTCTTCAGGAAGCAGAGCAGAGAGGGCGCTACCCAGGACTCGCTCACGGGGAAGAGAGAGGATGCTGAACCTGCTTAGAGATGGAGAGTCCTTCGGGGAAAATGTGATTCTTGGTAGCTGATATTAAAATTATGTAGAAGAGCCCTAACCGGTTTGGCTCAGCGGATAGAGTGTCGGCCTGTGGACTCAAGGGTCCCAGGTTCGGTTCTGGTCAAGGGCATGTACCTTGGTTGCGGGCACATCCCCAGGAGGGGGCGTGCAGGCAGCAGCTGATCGATGTCTCTCTCTCATCGATGTTTCTAACTCTCTATCCCTTTCCCCTCGTCTCTGTAAAAAATCAATAAAATATATTTTTAAAAAAAATTATGTAGAAGAGCTACATGAAAGATTAAAACAAGAGAATGCAGGACTCCCCTAAGAGCAGAAAATAGAAAAAGCCGTAGAATGTATGCTCAGGACACGGAGAACATAGCATGGCCCTGTGACCTGTCTCTCCAAGCTACACAAGACTCTCCGTCACATCAAGACATCAAAGACCAACTCCCTAATTTGCAGAGCCAAACTAGACGTCCTTCGGATACAGGAAACGGGGTTTGACCAACAACAACAAGAGTAGGTGCTAGTCCCCAAGCCCCACTTTCAGAGCTAGTGCGGGGCCTGCCCTGACCGCCCAGGCCCTCCCTGCTGCCAGCACTCACTCAGTGCCACCAGGTGCCAAGTGCTGTTTCCATCCGATCACTCCTTTACCAAGCGCTTTCTCAGCGTTTATATACTCAGTTTCCACTGTATTTTTTTCTACTTGTATGTTACATATTATTTGTTGTTTGTTGTTTCCTAGTTTCACCTTTAAAAAGGGTAGGAGTAATTTGAGATATGCTTACTGCAAGAGTTATTACGTTATTCAAACAGCCAAATGCAGCTCATGGGGCGGGCCTGTCACTAACACGGGCTTTGCTCCTTTTCGTAGGGACGAAGTCAACAAAGCCTATCGGAGACTGGCGGTGCTGCTCCACCCTGACAAATGTATGGCGCCTGGGAGTGAGGATGCCTTCAAAGCGGTGGTGAACGCCCGGACGGCCGTCCTGAAGAACATCAAGTAGGAAGGAGAGGAAAGGACGCGTGGGGCTCAGTACAAACAGGCTTTCCCTGGAGGTAAAACAGCCAACGTGGGTTTCCCTCCACAGAACCTCCCTGCTCGTTTCCCATGTGTGTTGTCAGCCCTGAATCAGTAATCCAGGCGCCTGCTACCATGTCACAGAGGGGGCGAAGGGACCACACGCCTGCGTCGCTCATTGCATATTTCCAAGTTGAAATCAAGTCCCCCCGTAGGCCCCTTGCTCAGGAGAGTCCAAAGGTTTCTGGAGGGGAAGGACAGGAAGACCCTTTCACCTCTTTTTTTTTTATTAATTCATCATCAGAATTAAGACAGAAGCAGACAATATCGAAACCCCTGGAAGTTTGGTGTGACCTCACAAGCAAGTTGCTCCTTTTAGGATGAGTCCTTAGGTGGTGGTGTAGCCATCAATCTAAAATTAATGAGCTCTTAGAGCCCTTTGGAAGTTTGTGAAACAGAGTGATGCGATTTTGAATTAAGCAGCCCTTTTTTGACATTTAGTCTGTTCCCTTCTCTGACCACCAGGGGGAGAGACGAGCCAGTCCTGAGGGTAAAAGCGATGGCAGCCACACTTCTGGGTAAACTGGCTGCTGCTAGTCGGGCCCCTGGATCTAAGGTCTCTCCCTGGCTGTGGAAATGGGTGCTGGTTGCTGTGGGGAGCATCATCACCTAGGAACGAGGAACCGGCCCAAGACAAGGGCTTGAGGGCACACTGGATGGCGCACACATGGCCAGGGCCCCGGCAGCCTGGCTCAGGCACATTTGATGCCTTAATGGAGCCCCCATATGAGGTTTATGCCTTTTATTGTTTCTGTATTATTTGCTGCAGACAAATAATGGTGGGAAAGGCAGGGGTGCTGCCCAACAAGCCAGGTCTCCTCATCAGTGTCAGTTCCTCTCCTCTAGCCTCCTTATTCCATATACTAAATCCGCCATCAGTTCTCTCCTCAGTCCCTGGCTTCCACCCACTGCCTCCCTACAGGCCTGGGCCTGGGCCTGATGACCAGAGGAAGTGTGGGTCCTTTGGTGGGGGCCGGAGGAGGGAGAGATCCTTAAGCCTGTGTGGGAGGAATCGCCATCATTTTGCTTGGGTCCCAAATTTCTGAATAGCGATATTTTACACTACAGATTATAAAGATTACCTTCACACAGAGAAATCCATTTCGCCATAGTCTCCGGCTCAGTCTCCCAGGATGGGTGAAGATCAGGCCTGGCCTTTCTCTCAGGCGTCTACCCCTCTCAGGGGTGGCTCATCGCCTGTCACTCTCATGAGGATGCTCATGTTTTTAGCTGTGACCATGCTGCACTGATGGGGGCTTTAAGGTTCATAGGACACTACTTTCTGTGAATTTTACCAGCTGTCCCATATAGATCGCCGGTTGGCATGCCTGCACCTCAGGAGAAAGGCACTTCCATTCATTCACGCCCACTGCGTCTGGGATTCTTGCCCTCCCAAAGCAGCTGCATTCGGTGGCTGCCCTCGGGCTGTAGGGAGCTAGTCAGAAACCAGAGCATTGTCTCATTTCCGTGAGACCGAAATGTTCTTTTTTATGAAATGAGATCTGAGATACGATCAGGGAGCTTGTCAGAAACCAGAGCATTGATTTCTAGTAGGTTCTCTTCTCCGTGAGACCAAAATGTTCTTTTTTATGAAATGAGATCTGAGATACGATTTCTGGTGGGGTTCTCCTCTGGCCGTTTAATGTTCACGAGCTCTGGGACTGCGGAACTCCAACCCAAGGTTCTCTGGACCTGATGTTGCTTAAGGCCTTCATCATGCCTACAGTAATGAACATCGCTCTGTTCTGGCTACAGAATTGAGGAGTCGTGTGAATGAGGGATCACACATGGCCGTGTCAGCCCAAGTTGACCTGACAGCTCGCTGAGTGTGTGGCCCTGTATAAAGAGCTGGGGCCAGTTTTCAGCACTGTCCTTAAACCCTGGGTCAGTCACCTCACTCACCTACAGTGAGAGCGTGCGGCTGGGCAGTTACAGGGGGAGTTCTTTCGGCTTCCATTCGTATCCCTATGTAGCGACTGACTTGTTGGAATTCAGCCTGATCCTAGTCTCAGGTCCTGGGACTCAGTTCCCAGGACCTTCCTTGGGAGTCAAGGCGGCCATGTACTGCTTCACTTACAGAAAAGAGAGGAAGCCAGGATTTTCTTCTTCCATAATTCTTGAGTAGAATATTAAAAGACAATGAAGCATGAACAGCAATGAGAAGTTTTTTTAGTACTAACTTCATACAAACTTACAGACCTCTGTGCATTAATTTAACTTCTTGGTGCAAATATGCCCTTTATAGTTCAATCTTAAAATTATTCAGCCAGTTAGGATTTCAGAATACATCAATGAGAGTAACAACTAGCAGAATAATTTTAATGGCTAAAAAAAAATTCTAGAGAGAATCTTGTTTTTCAAAAAGGAATAAAAAGTTTGAACAGCTATTATTAAAGAAAAGCCATTCCTTCCACATCTGAGTCACCAAGAATTAACTTTTAAAACTTGTCATAAATCCCTGGAGGCATTTCAAGCTAATCGTCCAACCTACCCAAGCACTTTAACATCCACCGCCTTCTGTTCCACTGTCCTCTCCTGCCTCCATTTGAATCGATGTTCTCGCCTGTCAGCATTTCTGTTATTCCACGTGTCATTTTCTTCTTCACATTAATGTGTCCTTGGCATTGTGGTCAGTCTGTTAAGGGACTGTAGACGCGGGGTGTCGTGCTGCTACCCCCCATAAACTGCTCTGATGCTGTAGCTCGCACACTATTCTTTAAGGCTCACATTTACCTCAGGAAACTTAGGTTAGTATGTTCTCAGCATTGAATTCTCAACTGGTCAATATTTTTTATACCCATAACCTAGTACCTACTTCACTGTTAGTCCCATGAGCCATAGACGAGGCAGCTGACTTTCTGAAAGAAAGCCGAGTGAGTGCAGCACCGGAGTGAGGTCGCCGCCCCTCGCAGCACGGGGACAGCCTGGAGGGCCGAGGGGTCCCAGTGTCGGGTTGGAAGGGGTGGAGCTGGTGCACATTGTGTGTCACGGTGACAGCGCCTTCTCCCAGGAACCTCGGTCGGCGCCGGATGTCACTCCCTTCACTGCACGCTGTCCAGCTCAGAGTCTGCCGATGATGTGGTGAGACTTTTGAAAATGGTCTTTGGCTAGTTTTCAAACCAATTTTGAGTTTAGCAAAATATAGCTAACCACTTTCCATCGCAAGTTTTGCAAAGTGGAAAGAGGTTCAGACTTGGGATTGAGCACAATTGTAAGATACACTTGATACCATTTGTACATTGGTTTTCCCATGAACCATCTCTAGAGAAGACAGCATTTAATCTGTGATGTGGATGCATCAGCTTGTGTGGAACAAGCAGTGCAGGACCGCTATGCAGTGAAGGCCTGGGGGGGTGACCTGTTGGAAATGGGCCAGTTTGGGTTGGCTTCCTGCATCGGTTGCCCTTTGACTGTGAATTCAGAGTCTCTAAACAAACCTTTTGCTCTTACGAGGTAATTTACATATTTGCTTTCTGTTGAAATAACTGAAAATGTTAAATCCAACAGTTGTTTATGTCTTGTATAGAGAGTGTCATATGTATTTAAGTTGTGTATTTTTATAAAGTAAAGCCAAATATCAAACACTGCTCTGTGGGCCGCACTGATTTGTTGAAACATTGGTCTTTAACTAAAACACGTGAGTCCAGGAGCCAGTCCACTTCCTCACGCACTGAGACCTCAGATAAGGCATCTGGCTTCAGTTTCCAGTTGGTCAAATGGAAGAAATTTTTATTCATCAGTGCATCAGGCTGGTCTAACCTCATTAAGTTGTGATGAGAGTGTTTTGATCTCTTAGAGAAAGATACTAATGTTATGTTTGCCTTTTTAATTCAGATAAAACTTACCTCATTTTAATAATGAAGATCTTAATAATTCAGTTAACTGCTCTCTGGACAGCAAGAACCCTGAAGTAACAGACTGGTGCGAACCCAGACTCTGAAAGGGGGGAGCCTCGCAGGCCGACCCGCAGAAGGCGGTCTGTCTGCGAAGGCTTCCTTCCGACAGGGGCTTTCGTTGTCATTTCAAAGGACATTCGCTCTCGTCTGGGACTGTCCTTCACTCTTTAGGGAACTGCGCCACCTTCATAGCTCGCACGTCCTACGGGGAGCTGCCAGGCCCTCCTGCGCCCCACCCTTCCCCCTGCCCACAGAGATCGGTTCCTGAGACGGGAAATGTCATCCAAGCTCAACCAATTGGCATCCCTCCCTGGATCCTTCTAAAGCAGTGGTTCTCAACCTTCTGGCCCTTTAAACACAGTTCCTCATGTTGTGACCCAACCATAAAATATTTTCGTTGCTACTTCATAACTGTAATGTTGCTACTGTTATGAATCGTAATGTAAATATCTGATATGCAGGATGGTCTTAGGCGACCCCTGTGAAAGGGTCGTTCGACGGCCAAAGGGGTCGTGACCCACAGGTTGAGAACCGCTGTTCCAATGGGATCTATGAAAACACACTTCCTCTCAGGAGAGGAAGACAGACAGAGTGTGCTGGTGTTGGCACCTTGATTATAAGCTCATGGAAAAAACTTGAGAGAATGAAGCAGACATTCAGAAAGAGACAGTCCTGACGGCTAAGACTTTCCTCCCAGCCCACGAGGCCTTCGAGCTGGTGGTTGTTCCCTCCCATCAGCCACCCCAGGGCCTTCCAATAAAGCCCACCCACTCCCGTTTTCTGCTTTAGCTCATGGGCGTTTAAGACGCCCAGGACGCAGCAGGGACGAGAGCTGTGGACTGTAGACTGACAGGATATTCGACAGGTATAGTATAAAATTTCGTATACTAAATATGTCCAAATACTCGTTGCTTCTTGACTGGTCTTTGGCTAGTTTTTAAACCAATAATAACCAGCTGTAAACTGAAAAGAACTATTAGTTTAATTCATTTTGTTTCAGGGTCATTTTAAAATGCCACATTTTATCTAGCTTTTTACTTTCTGTGTGAGCCATTGCCTGTTGGGGGCACTTCTAATTTCTTCAGTTTCTAATCAGATTTCATTGTCAGAACAGTCATTCGCCATGTATTTATTGACACCTCCTACGTGTCCACCCTGTTCTAGGCACTGGGGCTGTAGCAGAGCACAGACCAAACAGAACCCTTGCCCTGTGGAGCTTATATTATAGTTCCATTAATATTTTATTTGTGGGGTTTTGAAGAAATGTTCTTTTTTCCTGTAGGTTTCTTTCTGAAGAGGCACAGTTCGCATTTTTTACTATTCAAATACGCAATTTTGTAATTAATCCTGGTTGCTGCTACATACAGATCATGTAGGTTGTTAAAATGCTGTGTTAAACTTTTTGAGAACTTAACCGTTTTCATTATAAAAAGCTGTTTTTCATGTTGGCCTGGAGGGTGTAGTTCTAAACTTTAGACATTTCTGTCAGAACAGGATGAATCCCCACGGGACGCCTCGTCCACGCAGATGCTGGTGAGGAAAGCACCTCGGCCGGGAAAGGGATCAGGTTCAAGGACAGGTCAGGCTCCGCCAGGCACTGGTTCCGGTGGCCGTGCTCGGCAGGGACTCCGTTCATGAAGGGCCCTAATGTAACGTCAGCTATGGGGCAAGTATTGCGGTTTTGTGTGGCGAGGCAAAGAGCTGAGCTTCTCATAAGAAATGAACAGGACTTGCAGGGGTAGGAGCTGCCTAAAGGAAGAAAGAAGAAGACGGGGCAGGAAGCTGGGGTACTGAGAAGGATAATTGGAAAGATATTAGACACTACAAATTACTAGATGTTACCCAATATTAGAAAGAAGCCAAAGAGACACTCCCAGTGACAGAACCAAAGGACTTGTATGAACATGGGTGTTTTTGATGTTACTACCATTTTACAGATGAGAAAACCGAGGCTCAGAGAGGGTGAGTGGTTTGCTGAAGGCCACACAGGAAGCTATTCAAACCCAAACTTGCCCAACTTCAGAACCCAGGCTCCCAGCCTACACTATCAGCCTCAGGATCCACATTTTAAAATATTCTGCCCTAGCCGGTTTGGCTCAGTGGATAGAGCGTCGTCCTGGGGACTGAAGGGTCCCAGGTTCAATTCCAGTCAAGGGCATGTACCTTGGTTGCGGGTACATCCCCAGTGGGGGGTGTGCAGGAGGCAGCGGATCGATGCTTCTCTCTCATCGATGTTTCTAACTATCCCTCTCCCTTCCTCTCTGTAAAAAATCAATAAAATATATATTTTTAAAAATAAATAAAATATTCTGCTTCACACTCATAAGTAATGTTGTACCTGCTTGTACCATGTTACTCACATGATCATATACTAGTATAGTCTTGTATTTTTTAAGACCACAGAGGTCCAATTTTTCTTGTCAATGACACAAGTTCAAATCCTACATGCGCCCAAAAAAGCTCTTTCTGGGATGTGCCCAAGCCAAGAGGGACTTAAAA